CACACATGCACCACACATGCCACATGCACACACACATGCCACACACACACCACACATGCACACACCATGCATGCCACATGCACACACACCACACGCACACAGACGCCCCACACATGCACACACTCACCACACATGCCACATGCAGACGCCACACATGCACACCATACATACAGCACAATTACCACACACACACAACATACCTACACCATATATGCACCATGTACACTCACAGATGCACCACACACACACACACATACACACACACACACACACACACACACACACACACACCCCTGTCCGGCACAGTAATGTTTCTTGGTCATGAGAACACACCTTGCCAGTAGCTGCGTTCTGGATACATTGCCTGGATTCTCACAGCACGATTCTCCCCTTGCTCTCCTGGTGTTCCACGTCTCCAGCTTCTGGTGGTCTCAGACTTGTTCACTGAGCGCAGCCAGTTTGAGCTGATGTATGTGACGCTGACAGAGCTGCGGAGGGTGCACCCTTCAGAAGATGAGATCCTCGCTCAGTACCTGGTGCCCGCCACCTGCAAGGCAGCTGCCGTCCTTGGGATGGTAAGTGACAGGTGACACAGAGGTTTCTATGCTGAAGCCACACGGGCCTGTCTGCCTCAGGACCTGGTGTTGGCCAGAGGTACAGGGAGCAGCTGCCTCCTAAAGGCCTGTCCCAAACCAGACTCCACGGCCCACGTGAGCTGCAGCGCTTCTCAGCTGGAGGGGGTTCAGCGATGGTCAGTGACATCCACAGGTCACTGTGATGTGTGTCCTGGCGGCCAAGATGTAGTTTGGGGTCCCGTATCCCTTGGCTCCTGACAGCGTTGCAGTACCCCATCCCCACAGAACCATGATGTACAGGGACGCCGAGGCAGCATAGATGGTGGGAATGCCCCTGGCTTCCCAATGCTCTGCCCCTTCCCAATGCCTCACGCCCCTTCTCAGTTACGTTCCAGGCCCTCCGAGCTTCCTGGCTGGACAGCTTCTCTTCCGGGGGCTGTTTTGTCACAGTAACCCTGCATTTCCAGTCCCAAATCTGGGTGCTGTAGTCTCTTCTTCGCATAGGGGTTGTCTTAGTCTGTTTTGGCTAAAACAGACCTTCGACTGGGTAATTTATCAACAGTGGGAATTCTTACATTTCTGGGGTCTGGAAGTTCATGGTCAGGGTGCCAGCATATTTGGTGTTTGGCGAGGGCTGCTTTGTGCTTCACAGATGGTGCCTTCTCGCTGGGTCTTCACACAGTGGAAGAAGTGAACAGGCTCCCTCGGGCCTTTTAGGACACCAATCCCATTCACAGGGGCTCTACCCCCATGACCTAATCATCTCCCCAGGCCCCACCTTCTAGTACTGTGGCGCTGCAGATGAGGTGTCATTGGAGGAGTTTTGGGGAGATACCAAGTTCAGACCATCACAAGGGTTGAGTGTTATCCTCTGGAGCTCCTCCTTACTCTGCTTCTGGTGTATCAGGATCCAGGCAGCATGGCAGCTGTATTCTGTGGGCACATCACCATGTGGTATTTGCCAAGCATCCTTCAGCTGTACACATGAAGTCATTACCCGTGGGCCCCGACATTTGGCGATGCATATTTAAGGATGTCAGATGTCAGAGCTGGCACCTCTGGTTCTTTGTCATGTGGCATTACCTAGTAATCCATGTTATAATAACAATAGAAACTAGTTTCTTCAACAAGCATCTGAGTGGCTGCCGTGTGCCAGGCATTTGGAGCCCTTGGTGAGAATGGCATGGTGGTGCCCATCCAGGCCTGCCTGCCCCATGCTGTGTGTGTGTTCCTGTCTGTCAGTAACGACGGTGCTGTCGTGATGGTGATGATGTTTGCCATCACGGCAGCCACTAGCATTTGCAGAGCTCTTGCTCCTGCACCCCCACCTGAAAAAGGCAGCCCAAGGTGGCCAAGGTCAGAGGTTAGCTAGCTTGTCCAGGTCACACAAGGTGCAGCAGAGGCGGGGTGAGCCCTTGTCCGTGCCCTGGAGCTTGACTCCCTCCCTGCAAGTCTTGATTGCTCTCGCCTAGACTGTTCTCCCTGAGCCTGAACACCAGTTGTCTTCCCTCGTGGGTGGCCTTGCTGGTGCCGTGCTGGTGAGTCGGCAGCCGCCCAGGGAGTGGAGACAATGAGTACGTGGGCTCCGTGTGTGGACGGCTCCCTTCACTTCGCATGCCCTCTGGGTGCTGCCCACACGATGGCAAAGTGGCTCTTGGAAGGGGCCTTCCCCTTTGTGGGGTGTTTCAGCTGCCAGGCTAACTTGAATTGCAACTGTGGTTTTGTGCTCAGACCCAGATCCCTCTAGGCAAGTGTTGTGTCATCAGTAATCAGATGAGAACTAATAATTTTGAAAAGCAGATCCTAAGGCAGGATGGGCATGGACACTGATTCCCAGCTCTGTGTGCACGCATGTGTGCCTTGAAGATGATCATCCTTTGTGAAAGTTTTCAGTGTGTCATGTGTTGGTACAGACGTATCCAGAGCATGTCGTTTTGAGATATTTGCTCACTGTTGTGAAATCTGTGCCACCCAAGACCGGGTCCTGATGTGGGACTTTCAGAGGTGGGACCTGGGGCTGCAGGAGACACAGTCCTCAGGGAGGTGCCACATGGCATTGTGCATATGAGGGGGATAGCACAGGGTGAGGTGGGGGCCCAAGGAAGTGATTGACAGAGAACAGCCTCCTCCCTCAGTCTTCATTCCTGGGGTGGGAGGGAGTGGCTCCTGTGTCTTCGGGTCATTTCCCCCACGGAGAGGCTCCTGCCACTGCCAAGAACCTCACCTCGTTCCGTAAAAACAGGAGGCTGCCTGACCATCCAGCACTCCATGGGAATTCTGTGTCCCCTTAGTCTTGGGCTGAAGGAGGGCATCATTCCTTGCTGACTTCTGCAGGGATCTCCTCACTGTTAAAGAGCAGATTGAAAGTGAAGAATTTGGGCCAAGTGTTTAGGTCTATACTTAATGCCATTAGGTTTGGAATACTAAGTGAAATTGAGGCCATTTTGGTCAAAGTTAGTGTAAACTGATGTCAGGGATCCCTGAGACTACCCCAGGTTTTACTAAGATTTATTACAGTAAAAGTACACAGGACAAAATCAGCAAGGGCAGAGGCCACGGGTTGATACTCAGAGGAAACCAGGCTTGAGCTTCCAGAATCTTCTCCCAGTGGGGTTGCGCAGGATGCACTTAACTGCCCCCGCAGTGAGCTGTGACAGTGTGTATGCAGTGTCATCACCAGGGAAGCCGACTAGAGACTCAGTGCCAGGGTTTTTACTGGGGGCTGGGCACATGGGCACCCTCTGCTGCCCAGGCTCTGGACTCATAGAGGGAAGGGAAGGCAGGTTCTCAGCATAAACCCTGTTGCCCACACAAGCAGCTGAGCACAGGGAGCCCCTCCTCAGTGAGGGTGGTGGGCATCAGCCAGGGGCCAGCCTTGCATGAAGCCTCCCTCAGGATACAGTCTCAGGCCTGCTTCTGCGCTCCTTAGCATGAGGGCAGCACCCCTCACTCCCACCCTCTGGCTGTGGGGAGGAGCCACTGGGACGGGAGCTCTGGTGGCGTGCAGTAGCCTTTGTCTGTGTGTGCCTAGGACAAGGCCGTGGCGGAGCCCGTCAGCCGCCTACTGGAGAGCACACTCAGAAGCAGCCACCTGCCCAGCAGGGTCGGAGCCCTGCACGGCATCCTCTATGTGCTGGAATGCGACCTGCTAGACGACACTGCTAAGCAGCTCATCCCGGTCATCAGCGACTATCTCCTCTCCAGCCTCAAAGGACTCGCCCAGTGAGTGGGAGCCCAGCTGGGGGTCGGGTGGGGGTCTCAGAGTGAGCTGTGAAGGCAGCAGTGTCACACCTCTCCAAATGCCCAGTGGGAACCCAGGCGGGCACCATAGCTGAGGTCAGTGAGTCGCAAGGGCACAGGTGTGTCCTGGAGGCTTCCTCAGGCACCCCCAGCTAGCTGGAGCTCCCACCTCTGCTGCTGTGTCCCACGGCACTTAGCGCACTCCCCCACGTGTCTTCCTGAGTCTGCTTGCCAGGCCAGTGGTGGCGCTTGTTCCCTGCTCCCAGAAGCCTGTTCTCATTGCCCAGGCCCAGCCTCCTCTCTGCTCCTTCCCCACCCTGGCCCAGCACCTTACCTCCGTCTTATTTCCACTGTGATTCCCACCTTACCTTATCTTTTGTTTCTGAGATGGAGTCCAGCTCTGTTGCCAGGCTGTAGTGCAGTGGTGCAATCTTGGCTCACTGCAACCTCCACCTCCCGGATTCAAGTGATTTCCTGCCTCAGCCTCCCGAGTAGCAGGGACTACAGGCGTGTGCTACCACGCCTGGCTAATTTTTTGTATTTTAGTAGAGATGGGGTTTCACCATGTTGGCCAGGATGGTCTCCATCTCCTGACCTTGTGATCTGCCCACCTTGGCCTCCCAAACTGCTAGGATTATACGCATGAGCCACGGCGCCTGGCCCCAACCTCACCTTATCTTAAAGCTGCTGTATGGCAGGTTCTGCACAGATGTGTCCTTGACAGAGCGCGGCTGGTGACACAACCCCTTAGAGAGCAAGACAAGCTCTTCCCAACAATGTCCCACAAGTCCGGAGGGCTCTGTGACACCCGGTCCCAGCTTCTCGCTCCAGAAGTGGCAGAGGCTTGTAGCGGAGATGGGACCAGCCTCTCTGAGTCATAGGCCCCTGCACAAGGAGCTGTCTTTAGAGGGAAGGTGGAATTCCAGCAGCCACCCGCATCGGGGAAGATGGGAAGGGGGCTGGGAGGAACAGCCAGTTATCCCCTTTGACAAGTGGGCAGGAGATGGGGGCTGGGTCAGAGTTGAGTGGAAGACTTGGAGTGAGACGGGAAGGTCTTGGTGGGCACAGTTGAGACAGGAGGGAGGTGTGAGCCAGGGCATGTGCCAATGGCCATCAGCAGAGCTTGGGACATGCTGGAGCAGGGACAGTGCTCATCTGGGCCAGAGTGGCAGAAGCCTGTCGGGGGGCCCTTCTCACCTGTCATCCTTGCTGGGCAGTGGGTGCTGTGCTGGCAGGACAGGCAGACAGCTGGCACCCGTCTCTGTGTCCCTGGAGCCTGGCACAGGGCCAGGTCACATGGGACACAGGTCTGCAAATCAGGCACATATGTTGGTTAGCAACATGATTTTGGGGGGCAGCCCAGAATGGGTCCCAGACGCAGGCAGAAGCCCTGGTGTGCTGACATCTGGGGCTGTTCTGTGGCTCTTGGTGCTGTGGGCACGGAGGACTCAGGGAAGGAGAGTTGAGATGGCCCGAGAGTTGTGTTTGGGATGCAGAGAGCTTTTGGCATCCAGGTGGAGGTGGCACATGGGGCTGGCCTCAGCACCATGGGCAGAGGGGCTGTGTCATGTGCCTTCGAGGTGGAGGTGGACCAGGTGGTGACGGCTGTAAGCATCCCTGGGCATGTTTCTGCGGGAGGAGGGGGCATCATGTTGGTTCCTCTGTTCACAGTGGCCACTCATTCAGTCCCTGGCTCCGGGTTCCTGCGGTGCTGTGGGAAAAGCAGGCACTGATGGGGATCACACAGGCAGCACATCATGGTGGAGTGTGCCACGAGGGAAAAGCATGGGCACTCAGGAAGTAGAGGGGACTGGCCGGGGGTGTGCGAATCCAAGGCCTCTCTGAGGGACAGCAAGAGGACGTGTGTGGTGGCCACAGGGGATGGTGGGCCAGGCTGAGAGGGCAAGGCATCGGGGCTGGTAGACGGGCTCAGCCACCCAGAGAGTGTTGGTCCGGCAGAGGCTGAAGGGTCAGGCCAGGTTGCAGGGGCCCGGGGAGCCATGCAGGGTGGATGCTCCCAGGAGCCAGCCTGGCCCACAGCTCTGCATTCCTGCGTGGGGCCAGGTGCGTTGTGGGGCCGTCTCCACGGTGGCTGGGAGTGGCTGAGCCTGTCCTCTCCATGGTGGCTGGGAGTGGCTGAGCCTGTCCTCTCCACGGTGGCTGGGAGTGGCTGAACCTGTGTCCCGCTTTCAGCTGCGTGAACACGCACAGCCAGCAGCACGTACTGGTCATGTGTGCCACTGCGTTTTACCTGATTGAGAACTATCCTCTGGACGTGGGGCCAGAATTTTCAGCGTCAATAATACAGGTGAGTGGGCCCCAGCTGTCCTCCTCTGCACACGGGGAGTGGGCTTCCCTTCTGTTTTCCTTGCAGGATTGTGGCAGTGGGCCAGTTGCGACCTGGGGGGAGGAGGCATGAGTACCTGAGACCGTGCAGTGATTCTTTGACACGGAAGCCTTTCGCCCCGTGCAGATGTGTGGGGTGATGCTGTCTGGAAGTGAGGAGTCCACCCCCTCCATCATTTACCACTGCGCCCTCCGAGGCCTGGAGCGCCTCCTGCTCTCCGAGCAGCTCTCCCGCCTGGATGCAGAATCCCTGGTCAAGCTGAGTGTGGACAGAGTGAACGTGCATAGCCCGCACCGGGCTATGGCGGCCCTGGGCCTGATGCTCACCTGCATGTACACAGGTGAGCATGGACATGGTGCCCGCAAGGCTGGCCCAAGTCCTGTTCAAGGGAGACAGGAAGGAGCATGCTCACTCAAGGGACCTAGACCAGGCGCCCTCTGATTTGACACCTTTGCTCTTGCCCTAAACCAGCCCCATCACCTTGCAAGAGAGGCTCTGGAGCCCAGGCAGGAGTACCTACTCAGGGTTGGCTACCCCCCCGGTCACTCATCCCATGTGGCTGAGCTGGGCTGGATCCTGGGCTTTCGAGGGGCTCACATCATGGGCTTTCAGATCTCCAGGCACTCGTTGGACTTCTGTGTACAAAGCATGTCTACAGAGCCTGTTGCGTTGTATGGATGATGTCAGCTTCATACCGAACACTTTTGTTACAGGGAAGGAGAAGATCAGTCCTGGCAGAACCTCAGACCCTAATCCTGCAGCCCCAGACAGCGAGTCGGTGATTGTTGCTATGGAAAGGGTATCTGTTCTTTTTGATAGGTAAGAAACGAAGCCCCATCCTCAGCTGTTTGCTTCCCTAGGAACTTGGCCTGAAGCTGTGCTTTTGTGTGTGTCTACTGATGCCCCGACCCTGTTGCTGGGGTCCTGCCAGCGATTCCCCACCACAGCCTGACCGTGCTCTGCCTTGGTTCAGGGCTCCACTGGGTCCTTGGACCCCAGCACTCAGGTGTGGTGTTGACCAATTCCCAGGTTGTCCCAGCGCCTGCCCATCTCCCCTGAGGGCTCCGGGACAGTGCCTGGCAGTTGGGCGGTGTGGCAGGGGGCAGGAATGACCAGCCTCTGGGAGGGCAGGACAGAAGCCTGTGCAGAGATGAGGAGCTGGCTCAGCCTGGCCGCCTGTCGTGAGAGGGGAGCCCTTGAGGCCACAAGAGGGGGTCCGTGGCGCCTGTAAGCAGTGTGAGGAGCAGTGGCAGAAGAATGAAGGTGAAACGCACACGTCCCTGAGAGCCCAGTGGTTGATGGCTTTATCTCCCTGCCCCCCCGCTGTGTGTGCATTTGTGTTTAGAATTGGCTTTGCTCGCCTGCTCTGGAAATGGGTTAGGAGCTTTGTAGGGCTTTTTCTCAAGGACAGGGTCCCCCGATTTGCTCTCAGGCGTAAGTCCTGGCCACATGGCGGATCTGGGGCCTTGCTGCACTGCCTTGCCTGTGATTTCCAATTGGGGTGGCCAGTGGGGAGCCATTTGGCTTTTTTCTCAAGAGCATACTTAAGTGGACCTCTCTCCATTCTTTGACCAATGAGGTATTCTGGTCAGCCATGTTTCCATATTGATTTTTTTTTTTTTTTTTTTTTGAGACGGAGTTTCGCTCTTGTCACCCAGGGAATGCAATGGTGTGATTTTGGCCCACTGTAACCTCCGCCTCCCAAGTTCAAGTGATTCTTCTGTCTCAGCCTCCCGAGTAGCTGGGATTACAGCTGCCCACCACCATGCCCAGCTAATTTTAATATTTTTAGCAGAGATGGGGTTTCACCATGTTGGCTAGGCTGGTCTTGAACTCCTGACCTCAAGTGATCCGCCCACCTCAGCCTCCCAAAGTACTGGGATTACAAGTGTGAGCCACCACTCCTGGCCTCCATGTCAATTTAAAAATGCACCTCTGCATCATTCTTCAGTCCCCACATGCTCACTGAGCACCACCGCGGCTGGCAGATGGGCATAGGGAGGTGCCACGACCAGTCCTGACCTTCACGGGGCTTGCAGTCTAGTGCCTCCAGTGCTAGGTGGTGAGTGCTCCAGAGAGTGGTGCATGCCGTATGCTCGGCTGCTCTCCAGACGCTGCGGGGAGGCACCTCGGAGTTGACCACAGGTTGCTGTCTGTGGAGCGGTCTCCTCAGAGCGGCTGCAGCCAGGAGCCCGCATGAAGAAGTGCCGTGCAGTTTCTGGGCCACCGTCCATGCATCTCACACACGCTGGCACGTGTGCACTGATGGGACGGGAACATGACGGTTGCTTTTCAGCACTGGACAGGATACTGCTAAAGGGGCAGGTTTTAGGAGCTGGTAAGGGGAGAAGCAGCGAGAGCACAGATGGGGTCCAGGCTTCCTGACAAGGAAAGAGTCCTGGTTGACAGCAGTGCTACAAGGTGTTAGAGCACGTGGAAATCTGTGGAGCATTCGGATATGCAAAGCAACAAAAGCATTGCGAGGACGGGTTCTTCAGTTACGATTTTTAAAATCTCTTTTGTGACCTCTTTCCCGCTGCCCCACACGAGCTGGACAGAGGAAGAGCTGGGGTTGAGTGTTTAGTCTCAAAATTCATACTCCGGTTGCTTAGCCTCTGACCCCACTTGGAGAGTCCCTCACGGCCAAGGGTACCTCCCAGTCCTGATTTTACATCAGCATTTTGCCCAGTGTTAGAGCAAGGGCCCTCCACAGGCAGGTTGGGCAGCTGTGGGAGCTGGTGCCAGGCTCTGACCTGTGTCCCTCCCACAGGATCAGGAAAGGCTTTCCCTGTGAAGCCAGAGTGGTGGCGAGGATCCTGCCCCAGTTTCTAGACGACTTCTTCCCACCCCAGGACATCATGAACAAAGTCATTGGAGAGTTTCTGTCTAACCAGCAGCCGTACCCCCAGTTCATGGCCACCGTGGTGTACAAGGTGAGGTGGTCTGCGTGTGGTGTGGGGATGGAATGGGGAAGCCCGGAGGTGGAGTCGCCCGACTTCCCAGCAGATTCGCCATTAGGGCCCAGCTCATCCCCTTTAAAGCAGCAATGCCCCTGGCCCCAACCCCAGCCCCACCGCCCAGGCACAGCAATTGCTTCCCGCCCCCGCTCCCTCTGCTCTCCCCCGCCCGTCCTGACACTCAGACACGTGCTCACTCCTTGCAGGTGTTTCAGACTCTCCACAGCACTGGGCAGTCGTCCATGGTCCGGGACTGGGTCATGCTGTCCCTCTCCAACTTCACGCAGAGGACCCCGGTCGCCATGGCCACATGGAGCCTCTCCTGCTTCTTTGTCAGCGCGTCCACCAGCCCGTGGGTTGCGGCGATGTATCCTCTCTGGGTCCCTGGTGCTGGCTCCATTTCCCTTGTCAACACTGAGGCTCGTGTTTCATGATAAAAGTTTTGAAACCTAACCTTTGCAAAAACCCCACGTATGCCAAGGTGACAGACCCTCAGCCCCAAGGGAGTAAAATGCTGACGGGTACAGAAAGGAGAACAGCCAGACCTTTGCTGACCAGGACCTCTCAGAGGGGCTGGTGTATGGCGGAGGGTCGAAGCTGAGGAGCCCTTCTGTGGAGGGCCGGGGTGAGGGCAGCATGGGAGGGCGGCGGTCTCTGCAGACGTCCCGCCCAGTCACGGGCTCTGTGTGGCTGGGCTTCTCCTGACACTGCTTCTCATTAGCTTTGGTCATTGTGCCTCAATCACCCTCTTGGGGAAAGGCTTCAGTCAAGATCCAGTTCCCACCCCCAGATGCTGGCTGCCAGGAGTTCCCTTTCCACAGCCCTCCCCCAGGACAGATCACAAGAGCCTTCAAGCTGCGCGGTTGTCCTGGTACTTACAGCACATTCTCGCCCAGTGTGCCTGGCACAGCTCTGCTCTCCCTGCACCGGAGCAGGGCTAGTGGGGCCAGCGGGAGCGCCAGCACTGCACAGGAGCCAGGCCAGGTGAGTGCTCCCGAGTGGGTGCCTGCCCTCAGGGCTCCTGCTTCCTTGGCCAGCTCTGCCCAGCTCACCTCCGCCCTGCTGGCCGTCTAGCTGGCCTTCCAGCAGGGTGCTCAGCCAGCCAAGGGTTGCAGGAATGGAGGCGGAGGCGATGCTGTGGCTGGAGCTGTCCAGGTGGCCCTTCCGGGGCTCTGCTTGCCCTGCAGCTCCCGGGCCCCTCTAGGCTGTTTCAGGAGAGGACCCCCAGGTGAGGAAGGGAGGCAGCATTCCCTCATTGCCGGCCTTTTCCCTTAACTCCTGCCCCAGCCTCCCACACGTCATCAGCAGGATGGGCAAGCTGGAGCAGGTGGACGTGAACCTCTTCTGCCTGGTCGCCACAGATTTTTACAGACACCAGATAGAGGAGGAGCTCGACCGCAGGGCCTTCCAGTCTGTGTTCGAGATGGTTGCAGCTCCAGGAAGCCCCTACCACCGGCTGCTGACTTGTTTGCGAAATGTCCATAAGGTCTCCACCTGCTGAGCGCCATGGTGGGAGAGACTGAGGCGGCAGCTGGGGCCGGAGCTTCTGGAAGTCTGCACGCGGCACCCTGCCTCCACCGGGCTGGCTCGGTCCCTGTGGGCTTCCGCACCTGCCGCAGGCAGCCAGGCAACGCGCGTGTCTCTGCCACGTGGCAGAAGTGCTCTTCGTGGCATAGTGGCCAGGCAGGGAGTGTCTGCAGTCCTGGGGGCGCTGAGCCTGAGGCCTTCCAGAGTGCAGGAGCGGCTGTGCCACACGCCACGTGGGTGACCAGACGGTGTCCCTTCTCCTCACACTCACCTGTTGGTGCCAGGTTGCAGCTGCTCTTGCATCTGGGCCAAAGTACCCGCCTCCTGCAGGCTGGCTGTTGGCCCCCTGCTGTCCTGCGGTAGAAGGAGCCACAAGCAGGCTCTGGGAACGCGGGCCTGCTCTCCCCGCCGGGGTGTGCATGTCATGCCCGGTGTCTGGATGCACAGATGCCATGCGTGTGCTGGGCCAGTGGCTGGGGGCGCTAGACACCCAGCGCCATTCTCCCTTCTTTCTTCTCAGGATTTAAAATTCAATTATATCAGTAAAGAGATTAATTTTAACGTAACTCTTTCTATGCCCGTGTAAAGTATGTGAATTACAAGCCCGTGCTGCATGCGACAAGGTCTCTGGAGGTGGGCAGGGCCCCTTGGCCACGCTCCCTCTCCTGTAGCCACTGGCATAGCCCTCCTGAGCACCTGCTGACATTTCCGTTGTACACATGTCCGTTTATGCATTCACAAGGTGACTGGGATGTAGAGAGGCTTTCTTGTGCAGGTGGCCACAGCAGGACTGAGGACGGGCGCCACTGTCCTAGGAGCATGTGTGCCTGGAGCCCCTCCTCCTTGGGCACAGATGACTGAATTCTCCACCTACCAGTGAAGGACAGCAGCCTCCCTGTCCCTCGGCTGGCAAGGCCAGCCCTCCCTGGCTGTGAGCAGCCTCCGCTGTGTCTGGAGACATGGGCCTCCCACTCTTGTTCCTTGCTAGCCCTGGGGTGGGATCTGCCACTCCATGGACGCATGCTCCAAGAGTGTCACTCAGCTATGTTTTGTCTGAGCCCCTCTTGGTCAAGAGCAAAGCTTGGTGTCTTGGCACTGTTAGTGACAGAGCCCGGCAGCCCTTCTGCCCCTGTTTCAGCTGACATCTTGTGCTGGGCCCCTTTTAGTCAGGAGAGGGCAGATCTGTGCTTACTGGAGACCCCTCCACGACACAGTCAGAGCCACCACTCCTGTCCCCAGGCCAGGTCCCTGGACCGGCCTCCTGTCTACAGGCCCAGAGGAGCCCAGCCATTAAAGCGCAAGTGCACCCTGGACATCGGGCTGCCGGCGACGTAGGAGCTGGATGTGGCAGCTCTGCTTGCCGTTTGCCTGTGAGACGGGGCAGGGGCTCCGCTTCCTCAGCCCCAGAGGCGAGCCAGGCAGGGTAGACGACTGTCTCGTGGCAGTTTTGGGTATTGAATATGGTAAGTGGAGGAAATGTTGGAATTGTTTTCCAGAGTCTCTGCAGGTGCTGCCTTGAGACCCCCAAGCCTCCACCTGTCCCTGTCCTCTGTGGCAGCTGGACAGCAGCTGAGATGCGGGCTTGTGTGCTGCCCACATACATGAAGGGGGCCAACAGTGAGCCCCTCCTCTGCGAGGCCTGGATGAGACTTTTCCCACCAGCTCCCAGCAGAGGCCTCCGCCGGCTAGGACCACCTCGTCCTCATGGCAGGGTGGCAGGAGCGGTAGAAAGGGCTCCGAGGAGGCCTTGAAGGGAAGCCACTGAATTATAACAAGAAAGTCGCCGTTCTTCCTTCTTGGCTGGGGGCTCCTGTTTCATCCTAGCTTTTTCTGGAAAGGCTGCTAGAAGGTTTGGGAATGAGGGGAAAGTTCTTAGAACTGTTGCTGCTCCCCACATGCCTCCACTGTGGGTGATGTCAGCAGCTCTGAGATAGAAGCGTCACCAGCCAGATGTTGTTCCTGGCTAGATGTTTACATTTGTAAGAAATAACACTGTGAATGTAAAATTTGGAGCCATTCCCCTGAGAATGCATACTGCTGGGCTCAATGTGGAGCTGGATTGTCCGCCTCTTGTTTACGTTGTGATCTAGAACACTCCTTAGCAAGGGGTTCAGAACACCCCGCTCTGGCAGTAGGTGTCCCCCACCCCCCAAGACCTGCCTGTGTGCTCTGGAGATGAATATGAGCTCACTAGTAAATTGACTATACCCATGTATAAGTGAAGTGCACGTGCATATAGACATATCTGTAATTTTATACACACACGTCTCAAGACAGATGCATGGCCTCTAAGAGTGCCCGTGTCGGTTCTTCCTGGAAACAGACTTTCCTGAGACCTGCCAGGTAAAGTTAGCTGCGTGACGGACATCCAGGCGTGGGACTCAGTCAGAGTAGGGCTCATTCATTGGTCACTAGGATCCCGCTGGAGGAAATGGTCTCCGTATCAACTCTATGCAGAAGCGAGGGAGACTATCACATTCCTAAGAGTCTATGGCAAGCACCAATCATATTATTCACATTTCTTTGAAAATGTTATTTATTTGGTTGTCAAGTTTTGGTGGTGGACTGTGGGGAGATTGCTTTTGTTTTCCTGCTGGTAATATCAGGAGAGATTTTAATGAAACCAGGGTAGAATTGTTTGGCAATGCACTGAAGCGTGTTTCTTTCCCAAAATGTGCCTCCCTTCCTCTGCGGGCCTGGCTGAGTCTATGTAGGTGACGTTTCCAGCTGCCAAGTGCCCTTTGTTATCGTTTACCCTCATTTCTGCCAGCACGTGTGTCTTTTCAGGAGGAAAGTGTGAAGCTCAAACCCCTCCAGACACCCAGAATGTAGCATCTGTGAAGGCCCCGTGCCCTAAAGGACACCCCTCACCCCGCCCTTCATGGAGGGGTCGTTTCAGAGCCCTCGGAGCCAGTGAACAGCTCCTCCTCTTGGAGCTGAGATGAGCCCCGTGTGAAGCTCTGGATGGATTGTAAACAGCAATAACTCGGTTTGTGGCCGCCTGGCAGGTAGACCTCCCCGCATTGCGGGGCAGAGTGAGGTTAGTTCTGTGTGTCTCGGGGGTGGAGTCAGCCTCCTCTTGCTACCTGTGAGTGTCCTTCCCAGCAGACATCCTCACCGGCCTTCATCCCTCCCTCCCTTCCCCACTCTGCGGGGAGCACCCGGGACCACAGTTGCTGGCCAGGGTAGACTGGAGCTGTCCTCCAGGGGGCCGTGTGTGGGAGTGAGAGGAAGGAAGACCTCGAAGCTGCCAAGGCACCTAGGAGAGCTCCCGATGGCTCAGACGAGAAGAGGACGCTCGCTCGCCTGTCCTGGTCCTGGGAGGAGGGAGCCCCCAGAGCGCCATATGACAGCGGAAGGCAACCTGGAAGGCCCGGGGGCCACCCTTCTCCCGGGTGCCGCCACGCTCTGGTGCAGTCGAAGGAAGACCTTTCTCTGAGTTATTTCCGGGAGCACAGTCTCCCGCGGCAGTCTGGGTGGTGACTGCCAGCCTTGGAGGATCATGGCCAGCAGGGACCTGCCTATGGAGGGTGGGCACTGGCCCAAGGGGCCTCCTGTCCAAGTCTCCCTGCTTCGCACTGTGGCCAGAGGGAGTGTCAGCTGAGCGCGAGCTCCCCTGGAGCCAGCAGGGCTGTGATGGGCCAGTCCCGGAGCTCCACCCGGACCTGACTGTGTCTGAGAGCAAGGGGAAGGACTGACGAGAGATGTATATTGAATTTTTTTAACTGCTGCAAACATTGTACATCCAAATTAAAGGGAAAAAATTAAACCAGTTGCTGTGCAGGCTTGCTTGCTTTGCTTCATGAGAACCTAGACCTTGCCAAGCTGGAATCTTAGGAAATAGTCTCCTAACTACTTCTCCAATAGGGGCAGAAACTGTCCCACCAGCTAACATCTGACATTACGGTGGGTCCCTCAGGCAGCTGCCAGCAGGGACAAGCCCTGTGCTTTCTGTAGCCAGAGATGAGGAAGGGGCCCCAGGGCTTGGGCCTGGCTAGGTGCCGCAGCAAGGGCCTTCACAAACCACGGTGCAGGTGGTCTTCCTGTCCTGCGCACAGAGCTGCTGGAGCCTTCGTGGTCACATGACATCAAAAGCTTATATGGCACACACAAGCCTCAGGACTTGGCTACTGGGGCTGGAGCAGGTCGCCAGGCCTGGCACAGAGGTGAGCTGTGTTCTCCCAGGACCCGTCACCCTTCCGCCTCCTTGGCCATTGGCACCTGTGTCCCTGGCCCAGCTGCACCCAGCTACTCCCCAGCGCAGCTAGCATGTCCCACCTCTGGTGTGGCCTGGGCTGCTGTGTGTTCTCAGGACCTGCCACATCTGTTCTAGCTTGTTTTTTCTTTCTGAACCAGCACCTACTCCAAGAAGCCTCAGCTCAGCGAGGATGCTTCCTTCTAAGCTCTGGCTGAGCCTCTGGGGAGCCTTGGTGGTCGGTGGTATCATCATCTTGGGATGCAGATGTCTTATCCACCTGCAAGAACAAAAGCCCTGTGGCTTCCTCTGGTGCAGGGCATTCAGTAAATACGCTGAGGGCCTGTCTGGTTCTGGCTAATTGGCAGGGGTCATCACCCATTCTTTCCCTGCTCTGCTGTGCGTGCCAGGAGAGACGGGCCCAGTCGGCCAAGGGGGCAGCTCCTGCTGCCTGTTCTCCTGAGGCACGTGCGGGGGCCCCGTCCTCTGAGTAGGGATAGGGAGCACTCGGCCAGAAGGATGTGGATGGGCCCAGCCAGGTACAATTCTCCCCGGTTGCTCAAAGCATTTGATGTGGGGCATGCCACTTGGGCTCCCTAAATCTGTCTCCTCATAGGTGACACTGCTCCAGGGCCCCCCAATGGCCTCTGAGACCTGGTCGCCTCAGGGAAATGGAGCACCGCCTTCTCTCTGGTTCAGGTGTGGACAGCCAGACCTTGGCACATTGAGCACCCTGGCATGGCTGGTAATTTCAGAAAAGGGGCCGGGTCCAGTGGGAAGGAGTGGTGAGCCCCTGGTGAGTGGTCTTTGCAATCCTGGCGCCACAGCGGAGATGGCCTCACACAGCCTCCCTCTTCCTTATTGGAGAGCACACCCTGTCCCCTGTGGCAGCTCCAAGGCTGCAGAGCTGAGGATCCCTCCTGTCCCCTGCTGTGCTCTGTGCCTTCAGTGGTATTCGGTTTTGGCTGCTACTGGCTTTGTTCCAAAGAGGATCTGGAAGTCGCTTCCCCTGTGTGGAGCGTGGAGAGCTGGAAGTCAGATGAGGGAAGTAGCCAGCTCGAGATGAGCACTGGGCGGAGCCACACAGAGGGACTGGGTAGGGGCCTCGCCTCCACATGAGGTTGACAGCCAGCCGAGGACCAAGGAGGCCCTGCTTCTGGTGGTGTGGGGTGCACCCCTCAGGAAAGCCTGCAGAGGGGCCCGAGGAAAGAGGCATTCTCTGCAAGCCTACGAGTCTGGTCCATGAGCACCGTGACAGTGCCCGTGGGCACAGAGGTGGGCACAGAGGTGGACCCAGCCTTGTGGCGTCACCAAGACCTCTTTTGGGAAACCCTGTGGGCATCCCTTGAGGTTCTCCTGGGCTCTGCAGCCCCAGCAGCCTGGCTGCCCATCGGGCCAGTGGCTCACGCCACCCGGCACTCTTGTAGCCACACGCTCTGGGGCCCCTGCGGTGGGGCCAGCTTTCTCCACCCTACTCCAGGCCTCCGTGTATCCTGGTTGCTGGTGTTTGAGCCGTGAGTGGGCCCCATGGAGCCATCAGGTCAGGGTCAGGGTCTCCTCGGAGGCGGAGGACTGAAAGTTGTGGGTCTGGGTTCCCTGTGTGTGCACAGGCCCGTGCCCTCTGCGCTTGGACAGGCAGCTGGCCCCAAAACTGCTGGAACAGGCTGGCCCTGAGGTGGCTCCTGGCCCCTGTACCCCCCGGACAGCCCACCCACCTGACGTTCCACCCTGCCCCAGTGGTGGCAGTGCTGGCCACATCCTTCCCCTCCTGGCCCCAGTTGCTCTGGGGAAGTCCAGGCTCCTCAGCCTGCCCAGGATCCCCCCTGATTTGGGCCCAGGACTCCATGTGCTTCTCCGCCTTCACCCAAGCTCCAAGCTCCTTAGCTGCCAAATCCCCACCCATCTGCACAGGCTGTGCTCACCACTGCTGCTCCTGGAAGGTGCCCTTGGTGGGATGCCCACCTCTTCTGTAGTCTACTGTGTTGGGGAGCCCTCCTGCCCCCACCCTTGGTCATTTAGTCCCCATGTCCTGCAAGTGGGACAGAGAAGCCACCCAGAAATGCTGAGTGGAATGAGAGTCTGGTTGGGCCCCACCTCATTATTTAGTGGGGGAGAGACCTAGGGAGCATGCTCCTTGCCTGAGCACAGCAGGGCCCCAGCCCGCTTCCCAGGTCTGCACCATGGACAGCTCCTGCCGAGGCCTGACCTGTCCCTTCTCCCGCAGGTGCTGCTGAGTGGCCAGCCTCTGGGCCTAGGAGACCCTGCAGCGACTGAGGGTCCCAGCAGGCCATGCAGCAGTGCCAAGGTATGAGCCCTGCCCCCCAGCAGGGGACAGATGCAGGGACCCTCCCAGGCAGGGGCAGCTGGGTGCCTGGTGCTGCCATCTGCTGTCCTTGGAGGTACTGTGAGGGCTGTGCCTCAGGAAAGGCCGTGGAGCTTGCCCTGTCCAGGGCCTCTCGTGTGCACAGAGCCTGGGAAGAGAGGGTTGGAGTTGAGCCTTTTACCCTGGAAATGCTGCCTGGAGGGCGGTGCGGGTGTGGGGTGGCACCCTGCCAGCCAGGGCTCTGCCTCCCTGCGCCCAATGGAACTCGGGCACGCAGAAGTGTAGGTGCCCCCTCTAGAGCTGTCAGGTGGGGGCCCCCAGCCCTGGTGGTGGTGCCCACTGCCCAGCACCTGCCCCTTCAGCCAGGACAGCAGGCCTGATGCTGTGTCCCCAGCAGCTCCAAGGCGGATTTGTGGAAGGGTGTAGGGGTCAGGGAGGGGCCCCATGAGCACCCCAGTGTTGGCCATGCTGGGTGATAGAGTCAGGTCCTGTTACTCCTGTTGTAGGGGTGAGGAAACGGAGGCCAGCGGGGAGGACATGACTAGGGTCCACGCTGAGTGGCTAAAGCTACAACCCAGAACACACTGCCAGGCCCCCATGCCTTTCTGCCTACCCCATGTGCCATATGCAGGGAGATGCCAAGAGACGCTGGGAGCCAGCCCCACCTCTGCGCTTGGAGTCATGGCTCTGGAGAGGGCATTTGGATAGGTCCCCAACCTCACTGGAGCAGGCCAAACTCTGTTCCTGAGGAGCCAGGGCTTCCTGGAGGAGGTGGGCCTTCTACTCCTTCACCTGCAGCCACTCCGTGGAGCTCTCTGTGCCAGCCCCCAGCACCGAGGGCTGACCTTGGCACAGTGCTAGGCAGTAGGGATGGTGTCTCCTGAGGCCCAGAAGGAAGGGGCTGGACTAGTCTTACGGGGCTGACGGTAGGGCCAGGCCTTGACGAGGGCCCGGTGTAGGGGTGCAGAGCCCTCTTTAAGTTCCTCACACATCCCTGGGGCCCTCCCGGTACACTTCCTATCCTGACTGCAGGCAAGAGGGAGCCCCAAGCCGGCCTCTCCACGCTGGGCACCCACAGTGGGACCTGGCACCCCTGCCACGTCCCTGCCCTTTCCTTCCCCTGAGCGCCTCAGCCCCACCTCTGAGGTGCCTCAGAGAACAACAGAGGCAGTGGGCAGAGGCTGAGGTGACGCCCCACTCCAGGTGCAGCCCCCTTCCTGGGGCAGCCCACACCTGAGATTCTCCTGCAGTTGGCCAGGCCTGAGGAGGGGAGGTGGGTGCCCGCTGTCTCTCTGCTGACCACAGTGGCATTCAGCCTGGAACACTATGCCCAGCACGGCCCATCCTGCACAGGTGCCGTGGGCTCCATGGAGCCCTGCCTGACTTGCACGTATTACGTTCTGGGCACTGATGCCTTTGGGCAGCACTTCTCTGGGCAGAACCCCCAGGCCACGCACTCCTGTTCGGCTGCACCTGGGGCTCTTGGCAGGCGGCCGCCCCTGGCCAGCCTGGGGCATCTCCGTCCCTCAGCCCCACAGGGCCTGCTCTGCAGCCCGGGGCTCAAGAGCTGTCTCTGCATGCCGTGCCAAATCGGGCTGCCTATCAGCTCCCTGCCTACCCAGGCTGTGCCCAGCCCTGCCCGTGGCTCTTTCTAGGAGTCCCCTGTGGCCTCCCCTGGGCTTGCTGGACTGATTCCCTCCTGTGTCTCAAACAGAGCTCGCCTCTGCTGTCCCTGCCAGCCGGTGCTAGAGGCCAGGGTCTGTGTACCCTGCATCTTCAACTCTAGGCAGGGCTGGGCTCTGACCAACATGGGCTTCCAGTGTCCACAGACCCGAGGCCCAGGGTACCCAGGGGCTGAAGCAAGAGAAGCAAAAGGAGCAAAGGGCGGGGTGTGGGCTTCTCCTGTGGGCCCAGCCCCAGTTTAGCCTGGCAGGGGCCCTCTGAGGGAGCTTGAGGGTCCCAGGCCCGGGACCCCTGCCGGCCGGCGGCCAGCGTTGGGAGCCTCAGCCTCCCCATCTCCTGTCCTCTGTGTTTCTCCCACCTCTTGCCCTTTCTCCTGGCCTGGTCCCACCCGAGTCCCCCTCTTGGCCTGCATGAGCTGGGGCGCGCTGAGCTGGGGGCCGATCCGCCTGGGCAGCGGTGGGAGGCAGGGCCGGGAGCTGGGCGCCGGGCGCCGGGTTTGGGCCTGGCCCCGAGCTGCGATATTGATGGCCCGTCAGTGCGGCCCTGATTCCTGTGCTTTCAGTTAAAAGGTTTCTGTTGTTGTAGCTTATGCAGTTGCTCTGTTGCTATGGAAACGTGACATCAAAATGACGTTTCCCGTTTAAAAGCTTTTAACTAAATTCCTGCCTGTCAGACGTAGGCCCCATTTTGAGCGTGGAGCTGCCTTCGAGCGAGCGAGCGGCGCCTCCGCCCATGGTGCGTGGGGCCGGGCCGGGGGCCTCGCTGAGCGCGCTCTCCAACCCCGCAGGCGCCTCCAGCATGGCAGCGGCCGAGGTGCCCGGCTACCTCGTGTCTCCCCAGGCGGAGAAGCACCGGCGGGCCCGCAACTGGACGGACGCGGAGATGCGCGGCCTCATGCTGGTCTGGGAGGAGTTCTTCGACGAGCTCAAGCAGACCAAGCGCAACGCCAAGGTCTACGAGAAGATGGCCAGCAAGCTCTTCGAGATGACGGGCGAGCGCCGGCTGGGCGAGGAGATCAAGATCAAGATCACCAACATGACCTTCCAGTACAGGTGGGCGCCCTCGGCGTGGGCCCCGCGGGGCCGGTGGGCCCGGGCGTGGCGGCCACTCGCGGCTGTCTCAGAGGGCCGAGCCGGAAGGGCGCATGGGTCCTGGCCTGCCTGTCGTCCTCCCCTGGGTGAGACACGGCCCACGGAAACTGGGTGCAGCCTTCCGTTGGTGAAGTGGGGAAACTGAGGCCCAGCAAGGGCGGGAAGCTGGTCAAAGAGCTGAGGGGTAGCAAGACTGGGGCTGGTGCTGAGCAGAGGCCAGGATGGCTCCCAGGACGTCTGGGCGGTCTGGGCACTGTCCTGTGGAGGCAGCACCACTCACGGTGGCGCCCACTGACCTCACACCCTCCCTCCCCGTAGTGAGGCTGCGGCTGCCAGCGCCCTCCCCACCACCAAGTCCTCAAGCTCAGCAGGGGTTTCAGGGACCTGCCGTGCCACTGGGGAAGCTGAGACTGCGGGTGAGGAGGAGGCTCTGTGACTTTGAGCATCCACTGAGCCTCTGCCATGAGCCCAAGAGCCCGCTGGGGTTGGCCCTAGGGTCAAAGAGACAGAAATCGTCAGAGGCGCAGGACTGGCCAGCGCGTGGGCGGGGCTTACTGTAAGAAAAAGAGGTGGAGCCCCGCCCTGGCCCAGGACTGCCAGTGTGGGGCTCCCAGCCTGGCCCCACCTGTGCCCCCCACCGCATACCAGGTCGGCCCTTTCTGCCTGGGCAACCTGCAGGGAAGGCCAGAGGGGACGCGCTGGTGCGTCGGAGGGGACAAGTGTTGTCCCACACATCCAGCACTTTAAAGTGCGTGGGGCCCCAGCCCATTAGGACAGGGTCACAGGTGGGGATCATGGTGGGGTAAAGGTCACAGGCACAGGCGGGGTCACCAGTGGGGTGAGGGTCTTGCAGGGTGTGAAGGTCATGGGCCTGGGGTGAAGGTCACAGGCATGGAGTTATGGTTTTGGGTGTGGGTAGGGTCTTGCTTGGAGGGAGAATGGCCCTGTGGGTGGCCTGGCAGTGCTGGGCCTGAGGCTGCCCGGAGCCTCCAGTGTCCAGGGTGGGAGGGGCTGTCCTGGGGGCGCCTCACTCAGCTGCTCCATCTCCAGGTCAGGCAGGTGACCCCGGGGCAGGGAGGCTGGGAGCACCTGAGTCACTCATGGGAGAGGCCACCCCCACTCCCCCAGCAGGTGAGGAGCCCGCCTCCAGCGCAGCAGAAGGGGAGCCCCAGCCCCCAGCCCTGGCAGGAGTAGGGAAGAGGCCCAGCAGGGCCCCGGACCAACCGCCAGGCTGTGGGGTCTCCACTTTCAGTTGTGTTGATTTGACTTTTTATGAGCCTTGAAGGAGGGGTCCAGGATCTGGCCCTACCCAAGGTCCCTAGCCAGGCCCCAAAGCCGGGACCTAGGGTGCTGAGTGTGACTGATGTTGGGTTTGAGCTGCCACCTTGCGACGTGAGGGCTGAGGTGTGAGCCTGGATGTCTGCAGAATCTTGGTGGGCACAGGCAGCTGCCCACAGCCCCACTGTCCCCACGGCCCCACTGTCCCCACGGCCCCACTGTCCCCGCAGCCTCCTGGCCCCGCTCAGGCAGCTGGTAGGAAGGGACGCAGAGGGCTGTGGGAGGTGGCTGTGGCTGGTCCAGCAGGCTCCCCTCTGACTCAGGAATTCACGGGCACCGCCTCCCCAGCTGCCTCTGGTTGGTGTCTGGCCAGGTTATTCATTATTTATCCTGAAAGCCTCTTCAGAGTCCCAGGGGAGGGTTTCTGTCTCCATTCCTGGAGGCTGGGAGATGAGGGTGCAGTAGGGCGGGGGCCTCCACTCCAGACCCCGCAGTCTGGGAGGGCCAAGGGCACAGCACCTCATGGTTTATGATGTACTTCTGCACCACAGCCCTCACAGCTACCACAGTCAGCCTTAGTTCACCTAGGGGGAAACTGAGGCCCAGAGCATGACAGGGACTTGCCCAAGGCCACACAATCCTTAACAGAGGAAGTTGTGGCCAGGTGACTCATTCTCTGTCCTTTCCCCAACCTCCCTATAGCAGAGGCTTTTCTTATTTGTTTTTTTCTAACAAGAGCTCTTTACATATTAAGGCTGTCAGGCTGAAGAAGTCTGCGAGGGTGGCTGGTTCTGTGGTGTGTGGCTGTTGGAGTACAGTTTGGGGACCTCCTATGCTGAGAATAGGCCTTTTTTTGTTTCTCCAAAGAGTGGGCTGGCTTTAGTGGGGCAGAGAGAGAAGCCTGGCGCAGAGGTCGGGGGTGGGCGGCGGCGCTGCCCTCGGGCACTCTCACAGCCTCGTGCCACCCTGGGCAGCAGCCCCTGCTCACCCCCCGGCTGTGCCCGCCTGCTGGGGGCACCTCATTCAGAAGCAGCGTATTGTTTCCAGCGGCCAATGGCAGCACCTGCAGGTACCAAGCGTAGGAGAGAGGACACGCCCGCTCGGGGCACAGGGCAGATCTGGAGCCCAGCCTTGGGGCAATCTGTCACTCAAAGGCAGAGTTGGGGGGTGGGCTCTGGACCTTAGGGGGTACTGGGTCCGATGAGGCAGAGACCCCCCCGCCCCACTCCCATCTTGTAGCTTCTTCCCTGGCCTGGCTAGAGCTGTCTGGCCGCCCTAGGGCTCTGTCTTCCCTGCCTTGACCTCCCAGAGGGCAGCCAAGGCCCAGGGGAGGCCTGGGGACTTCCCCAGTCTCTCAGAGGGCAGGACCTGTCTGTGGGAGGAGGTGGACGCAGGGGAACCCCAGGGATAATGAGGGGTCAGGCAGTGTGGGAAGGGGCCCATCGGGCCCGCCCCGGGGCCTCCGGGCAGGCTGCAGTTTCCAGTGCTGGATCCAGGCTCCTGCGCAGACCGTAGGTTCAACCAGCCGTGGCATGGGAGCCCAGCCTGCTGTTCGCTTTATTCCATCTGCCCTGCCTCTGGGGGAGGGGCTCACTCTGATCATCCCCACGTCATTGATATAAAAACAGAGGCTCAGAGAGGTGAATGAACCTGCCCAAGGTCACACTGCGAGGTGTGGAGTGAGATGCTGACTCAGAGCTGTGGACACTGAAGCCTGTGCTCTCACGCCAGGGGTTCTCGCCCCGAGGCGTTCTCTCCCGGACAGCACAGTCGTTGTAGACAAAGTCGTATCACTGTATTTTTACATCTTATGATACCGTATTATTACAATCAGACCTCATTACTCTCCCTTTCAAAGTGACTTATTTAAAAAGCAGTGTTTGCTCATTGCAGAGAGTTTAGAAACTACAGAAAAGCAAAGGAGGGCGACAGGTTCAGCCCCAAGGTCCCAGTATTCACAGGGCACCTTAGCAAGACTGGGCCGCACCTCCTTGTCACGTCCCAGCCCGTGTGGATCCCGAAGCCTGGCTTCCTTCTAAGTCCAGTGTCATCTTGACCCGGAGCCTGGCTGATTTTGCAGGGGAGGCCCTCGCTGGCCGAGAGCGGCTCCTGCCCGTGCCGGCGCGGCGCGCCCCTCTGCTGAGGCCGGGCAGGACAGGGGCTGGGACTCGCTGTTTCTCACCCTTGGCTCTTGTGTCTCTCGTTTCAGGAAATTAAAATGCATGACAGATAGCGAGTCCGCCCCGCCCGACTGGCCCTATTACCTAGCCATTGACGGGATCCTGGCCAAGGTCCCCGAGTCCTGTGATGGCAAACTGCCGGACAGCCAGCCGCCGGGGCCCTCCACGTCCCAGACCGAGGCGTCCCTGTCGCCGCCCGCTAAGTCTGCCCCTCTGTACTTCCCGTATAACCAGTGCTCCTACGAAGGCCGCTTTGAGGACGATCGCTCCGACAGCTCTTCCAGCTTACTGTCCCTTAAGTTCAGGTAGTGTGTGTTCGCTCGTCCTTCTCCGGCCCTGGGGTGTCTCGGCCTGCCCCCACCCTCCAGAGAGAATGGCTGGGAGTGGCGAGGGCGGCGGCAGCCGTGGTGGTTTCGGAGGCTGTGGCCGTGGCCGTGGGCGGCGCCTCCAGGGACAGGCAGCCTCGGACCAGGGAGGACTTTAGTGTCCACAGGCAGACCGAGTTTGTCTCCCAGCTCCATCACTTTTGAGCTGCATGGAAAGTTCCTTGACTTCTCTGGCCTCAGTCTCCCTCCTATAAAATGGGGATAAATCAGTACCTTTCTCAGAGGGTGGCTGGGAGCCTCGCGGGAGAGGAAGCACAGCACGGGACCTGGCACACGGAGGGAGACCAAGCCCCAGACCCAAGAACACGCCCTGGCCTCCCTCACCCCACACAGGCCCCACCAGCGCAGGCCGGCTGCCCTCTCGGTGCTGGGGAGGGTGTCAGGCTATGCTTCATCACACTGAGCTGTGGGCATGACCCAGGCCCTCCACCATCCACCCCACACCTCACCCCAGGCCTGGCCTGTGCCGACTGCGTGACCGTGCCTGGAGATGCTCACGGGGCAGCCAGGAGCCAGGCATGGGGTGGCCCGGGGAGTCCAGAGAAGGTACTTTCTAGGAGGGGACATTTGGGGTGGGCTTTCAAGGTAAAATAGAAGTTGGCCATTTGGAGGAAAGAATAGGAAGACTGTGCATTTGGTCACAGCTTCTCCCCACCCTGGTCTTCAGGTCTTTCTGATGGGAGGCGGGTGAGGAAGGCATCTCTGAGGAGGGTCCCCCAGCTGACACCTCCCATGCCAGGGGCTGCTGCTTGACTCGGGATTTCTCATTGAAGACCTGAGACAAAAACGCCTTTGCTGGCATCCGGAAGGAACCAGCAGGCGGCCTGAGATGATGGCTGCTGTTCCTGTGGACTGAGCCCAGTTCCCAGACTCGGCTGCCTGGGCCCTTGCACAGGGTTGGGGCACGGGGGCTGCCCTCCCTGGTCAGGCCCAAAGTGCTGCTTCCACCCCTGGGGTTGGCCGCACCCTCCCAGCTCAGAGCAGAGCGTTGGCCAGGGGCGAGCAGGCTCTGGAGCAGGACCTTGGGGTCTGTGGGTTTTGGCAGCTCCCTGCCCTTCAGTGGGGTCTGCTGAGCTCACAGGTGGCCCCTACCCCTGCAGCAGAGCACTTAGGAGACATCTCGGGGCTGGGCTGCCCTCACCGCCCACCTCTACTGGAGGTCCAGTGTTGTTGGGAGAGAGCCTTGGCCTTTTGTCCACCCACACCCTCCGGGTTCCTGTCCTCCGCCTCTCGACCCCAAGGTGTGCTGGCCCCATTTCTAGGCCACGAGGAGATAAAGGGGTTCACATCCCAGGCCCTTCCTTCTGGGACCACAGTTTCCCTATCTGCCTAAAGCCAGGTGGGGCTGGTGGCCTCTGGCTTCCCTGCAGGGGTCCTGAGTACTCCACACTTCCCAGCACCCCCAACCCAGCCTTCGTCTCTCCTTGGGGGTGGCCTCTCCACCCCTGGGCCCCAATTGGGGCTGAGCCCCCGCCTGCCCAGCTCAGTAGGTGAGGGGTACTCCTAGCAGGATGTGCCGCTCTGCAGCCCAGAACACCCCAGCTTTCCAGACCGAAGGGGTGTAGTTTGTCCTGGGACCCTGGTCATTGGGGTCACCTGCTAATTGCAAAGGACGGCAATGCCTGTGGGCCGGCCTTCCTTCCTTCCTTCCTTCCTTCCTTCCTTCCTTCCTTCCTCCTTCCTCCTTCCTTCCTCCCTCCTTCCTTCCTTCCTCTTTCCTCCCTCCTTCCTCCTTCCTTCCTTCCTCCTTCCTTCTTCCTTCCTTCCTTCCTCCTTCTTTCTCCCTTCCTTCCTTCCTCCTTCCTTCCTTCCTCCTTCCTTCCTTCCTCCTTCCTTCCTATCTTCCTTCCTTCTTCCTTGCTTCCTTTCTTCCTTCCTTCTCTCTCTCTTTCTTTTTCTTTCTTTCTTTCTTCCTCTCTCTCTGTTTCTTTTTTGAGACAGAGTCTCACTCTGTCATCAGGCTGGAGTGCAGTGGCGCCATCTTGGCTCACTGCAACCTCTGGCCCCAAGGTTCAAGCGATTCTCCTGCCTCAGCCTCCTGAGTAGCTGGGATTACAGGCGTGTGCCACCATGCCCAGCTAATTTTTTTGTATTTTTAGTAGGGATGGGGTTTCACCATCTTGGCCAGGCTGGTCTTGAACTCCTGACCTCGTGATCCACCCGCCTCAGCCTCCCAAAGTGCTGGGATTACAGGTGTAAGCCACCACGCCTGGCATTTTTCTTTTTTTTTGAGATGAAGTCTCACTCTTGTCACCCAGGCTGGAGTGCAGTGGTGTAATCTCGGCTCACTGCAACCTCTGCCTCCTGTGTTCAAGCGATTCTCCTGCCTCAGCCTCCCAAGTAGCTGGGATTACAGATGTCTGGCTGATTTTTGTATTTTTAGTAGAGATGGGGCTTCACCATGTTGGCCAGGCTGGCCTCGAACTCCTGACCTGATCTGCCTGCCTCAGCTTCCCAAAGTGCTGAGATTATAGGCGTGAGCCACCGCGCCCAGCCACCCGTTACTTTCTTACTGTCGCAGGGGGTGGGTTCTGGCCCCTCCTTTGCATGTAGAATATGAGACCCTGAGTGAGTGACCTGACTCCCTGGGGCCTCAGTTTCCCCACTTGCCTAGTGGGATAGTTGGGAGGGTCCGGTGGGCCCCTGTGTGCCCAGGTTCTGTGGCCAGCACATCCACAGCCGCACTGTCCTTCCAGGTCAGAGGAGAGGCCAGTGAAGAAGCGCAAGGTGCAGAGCTGCCACCTGCAGAAGAAGCAGCTGCGGCTGCTGGAGGCGATGGTGGAGGAGCAGCGCCGGCTGAGCCGCGCCGTGGAGGAGACCTGCCGTGAGGTGCGCCGCGTGCTGGACCAGCAGCACATCCTGCAGGTGCAGAGCCTACAGCTGCAGGAGCGCATGATGAGTCTGCTGGAGAGGATCATCGCCAAGTCCAGCGTCTAGGCCAGCGGGCGGCGGTGGGGCCAGGCAGGGCCGGGCAGCTGGTGGTGCTGATGGGGCCACCCAGGCTGGGCCACTCAGGCCAGGTGGGCACGGGAGCTGTGCTGTGAACGGGGACCGCCTTCCATCTGGCCTCTGGCAGGATCCCTTCTGAGGGGTGTTTTGAGGACCCTCCAGGCCCTGGGGACCATGAGGCTCCAGTCTTCAGCATGAATGCCCTTCCTCGGACACAGGCTGGGGCCTCCGGGACTCACTCCGAGTAAGGACGTCCGAGATCCACTCTCCAGTGTCGTTACTATCAATGACATTTGAAGTGGCTTTGATAGGAAGTGTATACTTTTTCATTCTTGCCTGGAAAGCACAGTTTGCTTTTGCTGGCTTGGTGAGGATGTCCCGATGGATGGATCCCCAAAATGAAAGCAGATGGAAACGGGCCGGGGCAGGCTGGAGCTGGGGTGAGCTCCCTCCCGAAGGGAGCCCTGTGTCCTCCTTCACCAGGACCTCTGCCTCTGTCCTTAAGTGGCCTCCGACGCCTGTTGGAAACCCCAGGGGGACTCCCGGGAGGCTTTTGATTCATCTGTTCAGAACATCAGGTGTTTCCACTCCTCCTTAGCAATGACACCAATAAAAGTCGTACCTGCTCGCGTGCCCAGCCCTGTGGAATGTTCTAGGCCCTGGAGACGTCATGGTGGATGACACAAAGGCCGGCCTCATGGAGCTGACGCTTCCCATGGTGGGAAGACAAATGAGTCAGTAGAGAAATGGTTGCAGGTTGTGATAAGTGCCGAAAGGGAGGGGATTGGTCTGAGGACACGGAGCCAGACACACACACACAGAGCTGGGAACAGCAGCCACACAGGGAATCGCCAGTGCGAAGGCCCAGAGGCAGAGGACACCGGAGCAAGCCCCGGGCGCAGCAGCAGGCCGGTCGCCAGCAGCCAGGCCACAGAGGGCCAAGCAGCCGCTGGGAGGAGTGTTCCTGCTTCTCAGGCTTATTGTGAGTGTTATTGCAGCTCTGGATATGACATCCATGGGGGAGAGGTGGGTGGTGGAGCGGCCACAGCTACAAGCTCACCTCACTGCAGCCCTTCCACCAGGTGCAAACTCTTTCCAGAAGCTCCAGAGTTACAGAAGCTGAATTCTCTATAAGCCTCGTTGGCTGGGACTTGGCGTTTGGTTGTCCTGGCTGCTAAGGAGGCTGGGGCCAGGTGTGTGTGAGTCATCTCCTGGAATTAGGAGAGTTGCTGCCCACAGAAGGTTCTGTGGCAGGTGGGTCAGCAGGTGGGCAGCATGGTTTGACTCAGGGTTCAGAAATCTCCCTCTGGCTACAGGGTGAGCAGGCCATGGAGACAGGCATGGAGGCAGGTGTGGAGGCAGACCACGGAGGCAGGTGTAGAGGCAGGCCATGGAGGCAGGTGTGGAGGCAGACCACAAGGCAGGTGTGGAGGCAGGCCACGGAGACAGGCGTGGAGGCAGGCCACAGAGACAGGCGAGGCAGGCCACAGAGACAGGCAGGAGGCAGGTGTGGAGGCAGGCGTGGAGGCAGGTGTGGAGGCAGGTGTGGAGGCAGGCCATGAGGCAGGCGTGGAGGCAGGCCACGGAGACAGGCGTGGAGGCAGGCCACGGAGGCAGGCAGGAGGCAGGCCACGGAGGCAGGCGTGGAGGCAGGCCACGGAGGTAGGCGTGGAGGCAGGCCATGGAGGCAGGCGTGGAGGCAGGCCATGAAGACAGGCGTGGAGGCAGGCATGGAAGCAGGCCACGGAGGCAGGCGTGGAGGCAGGCCACGGAGACAGGCAGGAGGCAGGTGTGGAGGCAGGCCACGGAGGCAGGCATGGAGGCAGCCATCCTGCCAGGTAGTGCTGTGGTCATCCCACGAGAGGCAGCAGCAGCTCACCCAACCCTCTCAGGGGTCTGGAGGTCAGCCAGGCACGGGAGCAGCTTGGGCTCCACTATGTGTGGGACCAGCCTGTGGACCATGTGGTGTGCAGGACGCCCCAGGCCTGTCTGTGTGAAGGAGAGGCCAGCGTGCTCTGTGGCACCCAGCAGAGAGCTGGGCAAGTAGAATTCACTTTGCTGTGAGGGTCCTGGGTGTTCCATCCTGCTCAGCGATCTCCCCAGAGCCCATGTGCTGAGGACTCGGGACCTGCAGCTGTGGGATGAGAGGCAGAGTGTCGCCAGGGCTTCATGAGTGACAGCCGGTGCTGCGGTCCAGTTTCCAGCTGCCAGGTGACGCCACTGACCCTGCAGTTAGGACGAGGTGCACAGAGGTTGCAAGCCAGTGTGGCGGCCACAGCGCCTGCTGAGAAGCGGAAGCGGCCCCAGGAGGACAGAGGATGTGGACACATCTAGTGACGCAGACCTGAGTTTTGGGAGCTTGCTCAAGTGGGTTTCCAGCTCAGGTACCCACCTGCCTCGAAGGCAAGACACCACCCAAGAAAACATTTGCTTACAAATGCATTGGGCTCCCACCAGGCACCTGTGCCACCCTAGATGCTGGGAACGCAGCATAACACAGGCACCTGCCCCAGCTGCTGACCACTGCGGCTGGCTAACAGCTCCCACGGGGCCAGTGTGGTGTTCCCAAGCCAGCCTCAAGCCCTCGAGAGCAAAGGGTGCTCACAGCCCTGGCAGGAAGGTGGTTGGGCTGGACGCTCCTCAAGAGGTAACAGATGGCAGTTCTCAATGATGTGGCGACTTCTGCGCCTTGAAGCCTCTCTGGAGTTGCAGCCACGACGCACTGTGCTTCAGGAACCGCCAGGCATCCGTTAGAGCACGCCACAGGTCGCCGCTGTGCTTGGGTTAGAAGTGGCTTCCCACCGTCTCTAACCGGAGTTGCTGACACATGCCCTTTCCGCCACCTCAGCAGGGGCCGGTGCTGCCCACCTTCTCCAGCTGCAGCAGCGTTGCCCCAGGCCAGCAGAGGCCAGCCGCAGAGCCTCCTGGGGTCAGTGCCTTTCGTTGGCAGCGTGTCCTCAACAACTTTCTGATTTCTTCCTTAGTTGTTGGTCCATTAAGGAGAAAAAATGATGTCACCTAATGCCAAAATATTTGAGGAGATTCAGCAAAGCAGCATGTTGGCACCGAAAACGCAAACCAGGAGCCAGGCAGGTGAGCTTGCTTTTCAGCTGTAGTGTTCCATGTTGTTTTGATGCTAATGCATTGAGATAAACCAACAAAATAAGCAGGATAAGAGAGGAAGAAAGCAGCGTTGCCTTTGTTTTCAGACCTCGTTTTTGCATACCCAGAAAGCCAAATAGACGGAAGATCGGGAGATTGTTAAACCACCCTGAGCGTGATAAAAATGAGAATGAAGAAACATCCCATTCAGAATTTACCCCGAAAGGAAGAGGACCTCCACCGAAGGAAACGATACAGCCTTACTGAAACATCGAAAGAATACCTGAGCACCAGAGAGGCTTAGCATACTCCCGGGAGCACCGAAGTACCCTGTCGTCATTTTGTGAATGTGATTCCAACCACACTCTCAATAATACTGCTTTCTGTTTCGTTTTGTTTTGAAATGAACATGATGATGTTTAAATTCATACGAAAAAAGAACAGGGCCAAAGGTCCAAGGCCAGTCAGCGTGAAACGACCGATCAGCCCCCCTCGGGGTTGGAGAGGAGGAACCGCAGACTGAGATCACGTGGCTACTGGGGACCAGGGAGAACGTCAGGATACGGAAACTCCTGCGTGGCTGGCGGAGTGTGAATTGGAGCAGCCACTGCCAGGAGCAATGTGGTCTCCCCTCCTGGAGCTGTAGACACCCAGATTCCTCCCCTGGGCAGTGCCACTCCCAGACATGTCACCCAGCGGTGGCCCTTCTCACACTGGCCTGAGGACCCCTCGACACCCTTAAAAACCATGAAAAGTGCCAAAGAGCTTTTGCTTATGTGAGTTCTAATGACTGATAGTAATACGCATTAGAATACCTTATTAGAAATTAAACCTGAGACATTTGGAAAACCTGTATTTATTTCAAAATAGCAATAAACCCATGTCATATTAACAAAAATAACAATTGTATGAAAAATATATTTTCCCAAACAAAAAGTTTTAGGGAGAAGCGTGGCGTAGTTTTACATTGCGGGAAATCTCCGGCTTAAGAGAAGCCCGCTGGCCTCTCATGGAGCTCTAGGTCCATCCGCTGTGGGGTGTTTTGGTCGTGAAGTATAGGGGTAAATGGAGAAGCTAAGCCTTACCCAGATCTGTATTTGAAAACAAAAGGAACATGTTAGCAACTTTTGCAAATCATGGGGATATTCTTCCTTGATCCTCTTCCAACACTGGACAGGCGGTGGTTTTTTTAAAGGCTGCTTGTGATGTGGAATCTGAAACCGCATCAGTATCAGTGAGATTTCACTCGTTTCTGGAGAAGCCATTGGTCCGTCTTGTGCTTCCAGGACTCCGTCCACCGTGCTTTCGTGACCTCACACACCGGGCGTTTGGTTCACCAAGTTATGCGGATCTTCCAAATGCCGACAGTTCCTTAATCAGTATTTAAAAATCGCTTTTGGTGATGTCACTAATCTTAGCAGAAAAGTCTTTAAGTTGGAAAGGTGGTGAGCTCATGGCAGTGGATATACGAGTTTTTCAGAATCCTGATTTTTGCATGAAAGCTTGAATTTTATTTGCTGTCAGCTATTTTCTTTGAATGCAACGGGCTCACTTTGTTCATTTTCCAAAAAAAAAGTCAGGACACCCAAGGCTGAACAACTGAGGTTTTGCACATCCTTTTTTCCAGTGAAAAGCGTGTTCCGTACGTGTGTTCCGTACGGCAGCTCAGCCAATGGCACAAATGTGTTTCCTCAGTGTGGGCCTGGGGCAGAAGCTCCGCAGGCATGTCTTCTGATTGGTCAGATAGAACGCTGAAGAGACGTGGACTGGGGGTCAAGGTCTCACACACTCGACATTTTCGCTCCATCAAGGACATTGGAAGTGACTGGGTTTTGCACTGCAGCTGTGGGTGGGGAAGGCCTCAGGGCTGCGCCAGGGCTTTGGGCCTGCCTGCGTTCCTGCGCAGAACCCGCCACGCAGTGCACACATCAGCTCCGGGAAGACCTTGTGATCATCAGACGATGAGGAAAGCAGCTGCAGCCTCAGGGACCCTCGGGGGCCCACCGGCCGAGATCGGAACACCCCTGGCTGAGTGCTGGAGCATGCAGACAGGTGACCCGAGCAAGCTTCATCTGTCCTTGCCTGGCTCCTGGAGCTGGCTTGCTGGCAGTGGGTGGACGCATGGGCGCTGTCACACAAAGGCCCCTCCATGCTGCTGGGTGCGGTCATCACGGACAATGCGTGGGAACCGTGCCCCCAAGAGGCCCTCAGAGGATTCCCTGCTGTCTCCTCAGCACTGGGTATAGAGTCAGGTGGAAAGCAAATACAGATCTTTGTCTTTACGTGTTTTGAGTTGAGGGTGCGGCTAGACCAAAGCTAAACACGTAAGTATCTAGTGTGTTAGATCAGTGCTTTCCAGGGGGATCCAGGCCGTGCGGTAGCAGAAGGCCTCCCTAAAATGTCATGTGAGCAGATGGAATGGGAGGGGTCCCCTCAGCTGGGCCCTGGGAACGGCACTGCCAAGGAGGGAGCCGGCTCTGAGGGGAGTGACCTGGCCAGGAACACCCTGCTTTCTGCTGGGACAAGACAGTCCTGGAGAAGGGAGATGAGGTGGGGTGCAGAGCCTGGAGGTGGGCGAGGGGTGCTCAGGAGGCATCCTGGCCTGGGTGAGGATAGAATGGTCGGACTGGCACAGGCCTTTGCTGTTGCCCGGGCATGGGGAAACACCCAGACCTCTCTGCGCTGGCTCTGCGCTGGCGGGGATCTCCAAGACTCGGACCACGCCAGCGGCGCTCAAGGCGGAGCGCGTAGGAGGAGGTGCTGCCACGGTTCCAGGCCAAGTTCATCTCGGCCGGCCCCGGTGGGAGGGGTGCCCTAACCCTAGAACATGAGCCTCTTACAGTAGAAGAGGCCAGTTGGAAGCCCCTGGGACCACCTTGCCTTCCAAAATGGAAGCCAAGAACTGGCACATCTGTGGGGATACGACCAGCATTGCCTTGAACATTGTACACGTGTGGATTCCTGGCACGTCTGTGGCTGGTGCAGGGACAATCGCGGGCTCCCCTCAGCTCAGGGAAGTGGGACCCCCCATGCAGCCTCTTCCCTGCACACAGCAGTCCGCCTGGTGCCTTTTGCTGCCCTCTGTGTACCGTGGCCTCTCAGGGCGCTAGCTCAGTGTCACTGCTTTCCCTCAAGGCTAGTCTCTCCTGCTCTGCACCACCATGTCCAGACCTCCAGCCCCTCACCCCCCACGAGTGTCGTATTTACCCCACGGAAGACCTAGAGGACAGGAGGGGTAGGTGTGCAGGTAGTGTGGCAAAACCCACATGTGCCTCAGGTCCGCCCTCCCCAGGGGGCCAGGCGCCCACACCGTGCACTCCCTGAGAAAGCGTGTGACGTCTGGGGACCGGCTTCAGGGCTGGGGCCACACGTAGAACTCATGCGGATGTTTTCCCTGATCCTTTTTCCAGGCGGCCCACAGGCTACCGCTCAGGGTGCACCTGGGGCGAGAGAGGGCTCCGCTGGGCTCTGGGCCACCCCTGCGGCGTGAGCTGCGCACTCCCGTGCCAGCCGTGCTGGGTGGGCGACGTCTGGGGTCTTGGACAGCTCTTCCCAGGAGAGCACAGAGGAGGCCCTGCGGTGCGGAGCTAAGCCTCACCAGCCTGGGGAAGGTCTCTGTTGGAATCAGGGTGTGCGCGTCTCAGCCAGAGTCCGACCTCACAGAGACTCTGCGAGCTGCTGCTGTGCCCTCCCGACCCCGCCAGCTCCTGCCAGCGCGGCTGGTCTGCTGCTGAGAACCAGTGTGGGCACCGTGTGCGTCTCTCCCCTGCCCAGGCTCTTTCCGCACAAGTCCATGCTGCTCTGAACCTCGTCGTTTCTGCAACGTCCCTGCATGAAAAGGTTTGCTTCCTGCCAATGCGGGCAGGATGGCCTCCTCCTTTTGAATGGGAGACCCTCATTCCAGCGTGTGGTGGCCCGGCAGTCCCACGGGCCCCTCACTGATGGAGAGATGGTTCCAGGCTTTGTCTGCGGTAAACAGTGGTGCAGCGGATGTCTCTGTGCGTACCTGTGCACGGTAGCAAGTTTGAAAAAATGAGACAGAACCCTTCCTAACTCTAGGGGAAACCACAGTTTGTATCGGAGAGGAAGAGCCACGCTGCAATGGCTCCCGAGTGGGGCGGGTTGAGATCGATTCTTCCCATACAGACATTCCGTTGTTACAGCTCTGTTTGTAGGAGAGGCCGTCCTGCCTCTATGGAATGGCTTTGGACTCTTGAAGATGGATGGCGCGGCCGTGAGAGCCACCTCTGGAGTCTGTGTTCTGCCCCCTGATAATGAGGTTTCTCATTCAGGACAGACTGTGCCGATTGCTGTACATCTTGAAATCTGGTCTAATAAATCTTTCAACTGTGTTATTATTTTTAGAAAGTAGGTATTTTATGTCTTTAGCATGTTCTCATATTCTTTTTGTGGTGGTAAAATACACTCAACGTACAATTTACCATGTTAATTATTTTATTTACTTGAGACGGAGTCTTGCTGTGTTGCCCAGGTGGAGTGCAGTGGCACAATCTTGGCTCACTGCAACCTCCACCCTCCGGGTTCAAGCGATTCTCCTGCCTCAGCCTCCTGAATTGCTGGGATTACGGGTGCGTGCCACCACACCAGGCTAATTTTTTTGTATTTTTAGTAGAGACAGGGTTTCACCATGTTGGCCAGGCTGGTCTCGAACTCCTGACCTCATGATCCGCCCGCCCTGGCCTCCCAAAGTGCTGGGATTGCAGGCGTGCGCCACCATGTCCCGCCTATTTTAATTGTTTTGAAGAGAGCGATTCCGTGGCGTTAAATCCATTCATGTTGTCACCAAACTCCACCACCGTCCACCCACAGGAGTCTTCTCACCTTGTCAGATGGAAACTGTGCCCCGGAAACACGAAGTCCCATTATCCCCCACCTCCCCAGCCCAGGAACCCACCGTTCGTTCTGTCTCTGTGCATTTGACTATTCTAGGGACCTCACGTAAGCGGAGTCACACGATATTTGTCCTTTTGTGCTGCTGTTTCACTCAGCACAATGCCCCCCACGCTTCCTTCCTTCTCCAGGTGGAATAATATTACACCACGTCTTGTTTATCCATTTTTTTTTTTGAGACAAGGTCTCACTGTCACCCAGGCTGGAGCGCAGTGGCACATTCACAGCTCACTGCAGCCTCGACCTCCCCGGCTCAGGTGACCCTCCCACCTCAGCCTCCTCAATAGCTAGGATAACAGGGACTCACCACTACACCGGTCAATTTGTGTATTTTTTGTAGAGACAGGGTTTCGCCATGTTGCCCAGGCTCGTCTGGAACTCTTGGGCTGCAGTGACCTGCCCACCTCAGCCTCCTGAAGTGCTGGGATCACAGGTGTGAGCCACCGCACCCAGCCTTGATTCGTCTTTTGATGGACATGTGGGTTGCTGTGCCTTTGAGCTATTGTAAATAGCACTGTTGTGAACATGGGCTGTGTACAAAAGTCTCTCAGAGACCCTAGGTCCAGTGCGTTTGGGAATACCCAGAAGCAGAATTGCTGGGTCATATGGTAAATCTACATTTAACTTCTTGAGGCATCAGCAGCAAATATTTTTGTACTATTTCTGCATAGAGAATTTCTGGATCAAAGGAGGATGCATTCAGATTTTTAATAGATTTTGTCAAAATGCCTTCTCAAGATGCTATTTAAATAATTTCAGATCCTAAAAAAGAGAAAAATGTCCCCATTCATGTTACTAACCAATCAAAGCCTTAATACCAAAATCTGATTTTTAAAAAGTACGAAGCAGGCCAGACTTGGTGGCTTAAGCCTATAATCTGAGCACTCTGGGAGACTGAGGTAGGTCAATCACTTGAGTCCAGGAGTTCGAGACCAGGCTGGGCAACACAGCATGACCCATCTCTACAAAAAGTACAAAAAATTAGCCAGGCATGGTGGCACATGCCTGTATTCCCAGCTACTCTGGAGGCTGAGGTGGGAGGATCACCTGAGCCTGGGGTGTCAAGGCTGCAGTGAGTTGAGATTGTGCCACTGCACTGCAGCCTGGGTGACAGAGTAAGACCGATTCTTAACAAAACAAAACAGAAAGGGAGACTTGCCATGTTCTTGTGTGGGAGGACAAGAAGAAAACGCCAAGCTCCCGAGGCAGGACGGAAACCTCGTTCCAAGTAGTGCCTGGCGCATCTGAGCAGCGGGAGCCGAATAATGAGAAGGTGTGGACTGACAGGGGAGCGACACACTGGGGCCTGTGGAGGGCGAGGCCCGAGGGGAGAGGGGCAGAAAAAGGAGGAGTGGACACTTGGCTTAACTTAAAGGAAAAGGCTGAGCCTAAACAGAGAAGTGGGATGAAATGACTTTAAGCTTCTCGTGGAAAAAAATAACGGAAAAGAGGAGCAGGGCCCTAGGGCCGGTTCACTAGGGAGTGAAACTTGTATCAGCTCCAGGCACTCAAAGCCACGTGGGGCAGCCACAGAACAAACAGTGTGGGGCGTGCGTGGCCACACAGGGACAGCCCAGCTTGCCTCGAGGTCAGCCTCACGTCTAGCGGTGTGTAGGTGTGCCAGTGCGAAAAATAAGGACCCGTACGACCTCAC